GAAATTTGTTGAAATTTTGTTTCATAATTTATGAATTTTACATGAACAATGCATATTTCATTGCTTACTTTTAAAGATTAGGTAACTAAAAATCATGAAACTGTATTCTTTACACGAAGGATACCAGTAGTAAAAAAAGGAATTCGGTCAATAGTTTTCCAATCTGTTCGCACGGGATTTACCTAGATCATAGTTGATTTTAACCTGACATTTGTAATATTGTGGTCTTTTGACTCCTTGTTTTTATCGTTAAAATGGGTTTGGTGAAACAAGATGTTACACTATGGTGCCAAGAAATTGCTTCATAAAATCATTGCATTCTGTGACATGGGAGCTGAGAATTGAGAAATTCCCAACTCGCAGCCCAAGAAAAGAACAAGCAACATTGCAGGAGTATATTTTAGCTCAAATGTAAAGAAAAGATAGAATAATTATAAATTGCAAATATAATAATCATTTACTGCTGTATAATTATTATAATTAATTCTAATAATAATTGAATTGTTAGAATTCATTGTAATAATGATATAATAATGAAAATCATAACATTTAATAATTGAATAATTATAGTTATAATATAAAATGAAATCATACAATAAAGAAAAATAACTGAATAATTATAACTACAATTATTATGTAATAAATTTATTTGTTACATTGTAGGGCCCACCAGCGGCCGAGCGGTAAAGTTGCTGAACACTGGTAGTTCGGTCCGAATCCCGCAAACGTGCTGGCTGCATGGGCGTTTTCGTGGTTATCCCCATGTGTAACGTGTATAACGAGCCAGTTAGCCAGTTTCCCTTAGAAAGTCCTCCACGAAGGCATCCCTCCCCTTAGGCAGATAGCCCTCAAGGCTTTGCCATAATCACACACACACACACATGTTACATTGTATATTAAAATAATGTATCTATAATAAAACTAATTTGGAAAACACTGTATTTTAAACGCTGTAGAAATTAACATGGAAAAAATTATTAATTCAACCCCATCCAACATATTTTGAGAACAGATCGATCCGAATGGTGCATGCGCTCATGTTCGCAGCTGAGGTGGTCAAACTATACTATGCCAAGGTATGTTGACTGTCCTGCTCCAAGGTTCTTAAACAATTTTAAGACTTGAAGAAATATGCCAATTTTAATAACCAGAAATTAAGATACAAATTTGTTTTCTGATCCAGTATGGGTTCAAGATTTATCCTTCATAATCAATATAACAAAACATTAATCTGATTTAAATTTCAAACTGCAAGAAAAAAGATAAAATCATTATGAATATGTGTGACCAAGTTAAGGCAAATGTCAGTTTTTTTAAGAAACAACTGACATAAGATACAGTATATTTTCTGACATGAAACATGAACAAATCAAGTTGAAGTGAAACTGCATCATATCAAAAATATGCAGAAGAATTTTAAGCTTTAGAACTGAATTTTGAAACAAGGCTTGCAGACTTTAACTTTTTGGAAAACAAGCTTCTTTGTTTTCTTTGACGTTTTCAATAAACATAGAATCAATACCATATCATACGCAAATGGAGGTAATTAAGATCCAGTACAATTCAGATTTGAAGGAAAAATTCAGTAAAATCGCGATGCCTGACGTTTGCAATTATTTGCCAGCCAGGTTTAAAAACAATAAAAGCTTTGCATATGACATTATTTCTGTAATTGGAAGTTCTTTTTGCTGAGAGCAGTTATTTACACTTATGAAAGAAAACTGTTCTGTCAGATCCAGAATTACCGACATTCACCTTAGGTCAGTTTTGAAAGTAATCTCTTTAAAAAAGATTTCTTTCCTCCTCCAATGTAGGAAAGATGGTGGGAGAGAGTATCAGAAAGAAAACATTAATTTTACCATTGTACTTCTCTTCTATTTTCAAAATAAACCTGCATATTTATAAAAATTGGAAATTTCCCCCCTTTTCCATTTAAACTTAGACCTTTTTTATTTGACCCATGTTAGCCTTCAGTTTTACATGCCTCTCATTAGATGTTCTCCATGACAGCATCCCTCATAATCAGGGTTAGTTTAGATTCATTTATTAAGGCAAAACACATGAGACTGTCTCTGTTTTGCTTAAATAACACCCTAAGAAGTAATAATCTTCGTGGAAGGCTTTGTGGAGTTTGGTTTATTAGATTACGGCAAAGCACTCGAGGGCTATCTGCCTTAAGGGTGGGAGGACTTTTTAAGGAAAACTGGCTCGTATACACGTTTACACATGGGAAAAACCACGAAAACACCCATGAAGCCAGCCCGTTCGCAGGATTTGAACCTCGGACTGAACTACCAGTGTTCAGCAATGTTACGGTTCGGCCGCTGGTGGGCCTCGTAGTGGAGAAAACTGGTTTTTATGCATTTTCCATGTTGGGATGTCCATGAAAACACTCATGCAGCCAAACTGATTATTGGGATCTGAACGAGTCGAACTACCAGCATTCAGCTTTCTTATTCATTTTGTCACTGATGGACTACTTAGCAAAGCTGGGTTTTTGTCTTGCAGGGAGTGATATTTTTGCATAAAGACAATACTAAAAATTTATCATTTTTTATTAAAATATTCTACTTACTGAAGCATTTTTTTTGTTTGTGTGTGTATGTGATTATGGCAAAGCCTCAAGGGCTGTCTGCCTAAGGGGAGGGATGCCTTCGTGGAGGACTTTCTAAGGGAAACTGACTCATATACACGTTACACATGGGGAAAACCACGAAAATGCCCATGCAGCCAGCCCTTTCGCGGGACACGAACCTCAAATCGAACTACCAGTGTTCGTCTACTTTACCGCTTGGCCGCTGGTGGGCCATTTTTTTGGTTTGAATTAAGGACTATTTAATTACAGAGACGTAACGTATAAAAAGAACTGCCATATTCTTCATTTAAAGTTACAGATAATTATGTAATAAATTATGAAAAGCAAAATAACATGATTTTTGAAACAATTCAAAACTAATTTTTAAGATAGCCAAGATATAAATACCAAAGAAAGATTCATCAGAAAAAAAAAATTTTTTTTCATGAACAGTACCATTAACATGCACAAGTGATATCTGCTGCATTGAAAACATTAGACCACCATAACAGGGCCCAAGCCTCTAGTTTTTTAAATCAAGACTTACATAAAAGGGATAAAGAGCAGAATCTCTCACTTATGCATTTGGCACTTTTTACAAGAGTAAGAAGAAATGGATTTTTGTCAATTTTCTTTGACTTTGTAAGTGAAAATAGGTCGATGTGTATATGGGTACCGAATTTGTGCAATTCTTAAAAATGCGCGTAGCAGTGGGTGATTCTGCACTTTCCCCCACAAAAGTACTTACAACACAGTATTTAGAAAATAAAACTCGTTAACACCATTAAATGTTAATTAAATGATATGGATTACTACTTTCATGAGAAGTTAAAATTCAGTGTATTACTACTAGTGATACTTTGAACCAGTATGTATGTTGTAAGATAGATTGAATGTGTACTCATAACAAGTTAATAATCATTACTGAATATCTGGTAGCATTATTTCACCACTTTGTATAACAGGCGAGAAGTGGTAATGTTACACTGAAACTTCATTGAAATGACAGCTACACAGCTGACGGAAAAATTTCTGACCCGTCAATATCTGTGTAATGATCGAGACGATGACACAAGACTCCCTTTTTTCGAAATAGACCGCAAAAAACGACACGTTCTTCCATCTCGACGGTAGCCAGACCTGCAATGGTTAATTCACACCACCTGTGTTTGCGCATGCACACAATCAGCCCAGGTACCAGCAGTTTACGCCGATTTCTCTAAGACAGGTGGTAAAGAGAGCGAAGGTTGTTAATAGTTCACCAGCAAGAGAATAAATTGCAAGTAACAATTATCAGTTACAAAGATGAGGTCAATCTATATACATCATAATGTTCCTAATGATTAGATAAAATAGGGATTTAATGATGGTTCTAATTGCAAGCAAGGACATGTAATTAATTAAAAAACCTTTAATGTATTGACAAAAAAGCTACAGAAATTACTTAAATTCTTTTATTTAACAGAGGAATTTTTATGCAAATTTAGAGCCTAGTCTTATAGCGTAGGACTGTCAGAATTTATTATTCAATAAGAAAACCTACTGAAAATTATAATATTCTTATATATTCATCACTTTTTCAGTATCCACACGTTTAGAGATTCAAATGCCATATTTCAAAATCAAAGTTATTTATGAAATAAAACCTTATACAATCTGATAAATCATTTGTGAATGCAAATTTTTAAATCTAAATCTCTTATATTAAATTATTTCTGTCTTTTAAATTACATCCCATTATTTATATTTCAATTTAATTTATTGATGAGGTTTTACTTATACGTATTTCAAACTTCTTTGAAATACTTTTTGTGTCTTGAAAATGCGTATTTCCATAAAAAAATAAACAGGCATACAAAATTTATAATAACCTGTATTATATGATTAATTATTCATTTAATAGCTGATTTAATTGCTTTTAACCTATTTCATGTTTAAACTTTCTATACAGAAATCCTCTGTCTAATTTTTATTATCGTTTCTCAGACAATTTTCAGAGAATATGAATTAAAGTCTTGATTGTGCAAAACACATCTTTAAAGCTAAATGTATTCTAAGAAGTACAAAAAATGTAAACAAGATTTTGCCGCCCCCCAAATCAGTCATTTAAACTATTCCAACCCTTCAGAAAAATCATAATGCGAACATAAAAATCTGCCCTTTTTTATATATACTTTGATAAAAGGAAATGTGGTCCTTCTTTTTGTAAGAAAATGAACCCATTTTCCTTTTTAAACTTTTGAAAGTCACCAACGCTTAAAAAATGATAAACTACGTCAAGGTATGGGTAACCCGCCTTTTTCTTTTCAGTTGGGATCATGCACGGTCCATGGTTAGGTTCAAATGACGGATCTGACAATTCAATGCGCATGCGTGGTTGGTGCGGCTAATCGCACCGCTGGTAGACGCTGATAGACGTAAATACATTTTTGAAAAACTCTTTAATCCTCCAGTAAGGAATTGTCTGGCACCATAATTTAGTTTTCTGCATGATTTATGCCATCTTATGGTTTCTTCTTTTGACTTTGAATCACAGAGATAGTGTTTTAGCTCTACGGGGCTCTGTTACTTTCTATTTCAATCGAGTAATTTCTTTAATGCATCAGCTCAGTCAAATTCTCTGTCTAAGCAATTGCTCCCAAACAGGCACTTTTTAGAAATTTTTTGATAATATAAGTAAAGAATTTATCTTTTTTTTTCTTTTTTTTCCGGGAAGTATCGAAAATGATCTTTGTTTACAAAACATTAGTTATTTACAAGGATGCGTAACTGAAACTGTAACTCCGTTCCCTAAAATTTTTTCCCTAACACCCACTGTGATGTTGAGGGAGCAGTATTAATTTAAACGTTTTACACAAATATAAGAATGAAGGATGGTTATCAATCAGAAAATAGTTCGCATAACACAGTGTGTAGTTTAATAGGGTACCAAAATCAGAAAATGTATTTCATGCTTTTCGGATGATATTTAACCAGTAAATTTCCGTTCATGTTTTATATATTTTGCTTATCTATGTGATTTTTCCCAAATACCGTGTAGTAATTTCTGATTTGTGGCTCTTTAAGTTATACAGAGCATATTCGAATGTGATTATTCAAACGACTGAAACAGATAGGTATGGCAACTTGCAAACAAACAGCTTACGAACTTATTCAAGATGTATTTTCACCCTGTGTTGCAGTTTTATGCAGTAATGATGTCGAACAAATTTGTGCAAAAAATAATCTCACGTTTGTTGAGATGGTCCAGCCGTTTTGTAGACTTACTACTGAAGGTAAGTCATGTAAACGCATTTTATTTCAATCATATATCTCATACCGTTCTGTTATTGTTATGGAATTGATATTAAATAAATTTATTAGTATCACAAACAGTAGGATTTTCAATAAAAATGTATTTTATACAGCATTAGTATGTCTAATTTTTTTTTTTTTTTTTTTTTTCGGAGCGAAACTGCGTTTAGAACGTTACATGTTACAAATTTAAATGGAGGTAAGGTTTCATCTGTATAAATTAAAACTGAAAATCAATTATAGTTTAAATTCCTTTTTACCTCCTCACAGTGAAAATTAATGGAAACATTGTGGGCAGAACACATTTTTTTGATACATAAGTGTTTTAAATGATATTCAGTCAGTAATATGAAAAAAAAAAAAAAAATATATATATATTAAGTTTTACAGCTGTTGATAAAAGATGTTTGATTGGATTATTAATAATAGATAATAGCATTTTCTTTAAAGAATTTGCTGTGGTTAGCTACTCGTTTTACCTTTTAAATGCTTCAAAGTTTATGTCTGCAATCAAATTAGAATCTTTACAAATTGAATTTGCTAAGAAATGCAACAAATTAGCAAAGAATTTATATACATAATACTGATTATTGTCATGTGAGTTATGATGATAGTTATTAAATGTAAAATGAGCTAATATTCTGTGGCGTAACTAGAATTCTGGGGTCGCTATGCAAAAATATTTTCTTGGGGCCCCCAATAAATTTATGGGGATCCAAAATAAAGAAAGAAAAAAGGAGGAAAAAAGATCTGAAAGTTTTAGAATATAACAGCTACCCAGAATTGTTTGTCAAGGTCTTTTATACTCTTGCTGAGCTTGCTGTCTACCTGGCCTGCTCTTGCTCTCACTCCTGCTAACTTTTTTTTCTTTTGTCTCTTTATCTTGATTATTATGCATAATTGTCTTTGCACTTTATGCCACATACAGTTCAACACAAAAATCACAAAATTTTTAAAAGCTGGATTGTGGCACATGTTTAAAATTTCCGATGCTGTGTTAAGTGTTGTCATACACTTTTATGTTTTTTCCTCAGTTTATTATATCAGTATTCAATATTTTTAGTTAGATGGCTAGCCAAAAAAATTTTCTTTTATTTAAAAAAAAATTAACGTTTTATGTGATACATTTATTATATATCACGTTCATCTCACTTACGGCAAATTCATTTGAACTGCAAAATCACAAAAAGTTTAAAAGCAGCATATTTTTGGACTTCCTAGCCGCTCGTGTAGCCAGCTGCCTAAAAAAGTTATAATAAAAAATTAATTAATAATGATTCCAGCTAATATAATTTCATAAAAAATATTGAACATTTTTAATTAAATATCTCATGATTTTAGTAGATTTTTTTTAATACATGTTAAATCAATCACATTAAAAAGTAGAAAAAAGTATTCTAAAGAACTGTGCTTATTCTTTTAAATTGCATAGTTTATTATTCTGTAACCCTTCATGTTAAATTTGAAACTATCTTACAATTTACTGAATGGCAACAGGCATGATAAAAGAATTTTACTTCTGGCCGCAGCGAAGCATTGCTTTCATAGTTTCTTTTTAGTTATAACTGAAAGGTATCTATCTAAAATTGTTTGGAATGAGAACAGTCTCACATGCTGGAGCTAAAAATGTTTTATTTCAAATAGTGTTACCATTTGTTGCTTTCAAATTTTATTTCTTATGTGGAATGTTTATGTTTCAGTTCTGAGTGTGGCAAGGTTTAAATTGTAAAAATAGTGTAAAAGTAGATCATGAGATCTGAGCAGATATGCTGCTAACAGGCCTTTGCAACCGATTCTCTTGAAAGGTTCCAAAAGCTTGTGATACATCCGACCCATACTCATAGTATATACCAGAGGTGGGAAACCTTTTCACCATTAGAGGCCACATTTAAATTAGGCAGCAATAAGAGAGGCCACATAAGCTGATTGACTTAAGAAAGTGACTTTTGTGAAATTATTATAGTTTTTCTATAGATTTAACAATGTATTGCATTATATAGAAAAAATAAATTATAATACTACAAAATTTTAAATATAATATACATATAAAAATATAAAAAATATTATAAAAAAAACAATAAAAAATATTTTTTATTCACTAAGTTAGTGACTTATTTGGCTTTGTTTTTTGTTTGACAGTAATTGTATATTTGGATCAAGCTTCGTAACACACAGCTTTAATTGATCTTCTAAATGTGCATCTGTAATTTGCGTTCTTAAATTTGTTTTTATTTTTGACATGAGAGAAAATGTTGTCTCGCAACAGTATGTACTTCCGAAGCAGGAAAGTAAACGGCGAGCAGGTTCTCGAGGGCATGGATATTCAACAGCATTTTTTCCAGATTTCTATGGGATCCTTTTTAGCATTAAAAAGGGATTTGATGATACTATCTTCCCCTAAATCAATTAACTCCATTTGTAGTTCTGCAGGAGCCTCGGATATATCTATTAAATGTGGTTCAAATGCCAGTTTCATAGCAGGAGTGTGCTCATCAAAATCAGAAAATCTATTAGTATACTCTTCTATTAAACAATCCAAGACACCTACATATTCATCGAATATTTTATTTTCACAGTTCTGCTCATTTAACATTTTAGCTAGCTCCGGGAAGTGTTGTGCAGATATTTCCGATCAACAAAGCAATGTTTTGAAAAATGATAATTTTTTTCTAAACGCTTGGATCTTTTGCCACATTTCATAAATATACCTCATTTCACCTTGCAGGCAAATATTTAAATTGTTTTGTTTTGTCATCATATCAGACAAAAATGCAAGGTGTGTGAGAAATACTTCATCTGATAGATCACATTGTTTTCCTTGTTCTTTATAAAAGTTTAAAATTTGTCGTCTTAAAGACAAAACTTTTATCAAAACCTAACCTGTTGATAGCCAGCGAACCTTGCAGTAGTATGGCAGGTCAACACTATACGTTTCCTCATCTAAAGAGAGCATCTGCCGAAATTCACGATGACTCATTCTATTTACGCAAATATAGTTGACAATGGCAATGGTTCTATCCAGAGTGTCTTGCAAAATGGTAGATTTTGCGCAAAGATTTTTTTTTGAAGAAGTTTTTTTTTGTCCAGATATTTTTAATTATTAAATACAAAGAGAAGAGAAAATATAACAATGTGGGGAAGAAGACTAATTGCTTTATTAAACTACACTAATGATTGTGAAAATTGCAACACCATGAAGGAATTATGCAAATTGGACCAAACTTATGGATATGTAAAGCAAAGTAAGACATACAAATGGAATGGATTAGAAAGCAACTGAGCATGTGTGGAGTGAGATCCAATTACTTGTTCCATATATATAAAGGATTGTAAAGTTTCGTTGAAATCTGTTTATTCTCTGTCTGCAGTGAATGTTTAATTAGCTGTCAAGTATGCCTCATTAACAGCAAAGGTGCCATACCAACAACTAACAAAGTCGAACAATACCACATTGTTGGTATGTGACGATGTGGCTTTGGTAGTGTGGACTTTCATAGAGCAATTGCAGCCCACATGCAGTGTAATGCCACAACAGTGATGTGTGTTTGGAAGAAATGGACAGAGGTGAAACAACAAGGCGAAATCCTGGCAGTCGGGTACCCAATGGCACAGGATGACAGACTGCATGGCTGTGATGAATTGTACAGCATTCTGTCATGTGTTAGCACAACGTTGGACCATGCCCAAGTAGTACATGACATTGCAAAGTGGTAGTGGTAACTTTTACGACATCTTTACAACACAGCGAAGACGAAAAATATTTGCCGTCGTTTCTTGGCAATTTGGTCGACGTCGCTGAAACGTCATGATATGACCACTTTTAGACATGGTCATTTTAGCATCTTTTTCATACTTCATCAGCGTTACTTTTAGAATGAAAAGAGACTAAATCTGCCCTTTCAAGAATCTGAAGTCCGCATAAGATTTATTTTGCAGTGTTTCATTACTTTATTTCATCTAAATATATTAATCTACGGTAGATTCATGTAACAAAATATAAATTTAATATAAATACTTGAATTATTAAATTAAATTACTATTAAAATATGTGTTAAATTATTGTTTAAAATGTTGTTAAAATAATTAATACTTAAAATAAAATATTTAAAAATGAAACTAATCTATAAGGTAAGTTTTTAAGTTCATTTTATATGTTTTAAAAAATCATATTTCCAAAATCAATGCAAATCACGTTAGCAATTATTTCACTTCTGAAATATGACTTTATTTATTATTTTTGAAGTAAGGACAAATTTATTTGAATTAATATGCTGATATGATATGAAACATTTTACTGCATACAGTGCAAAAAGTACACTTTTAACAAAGATATGATTGTGCATGAAGATGTATTCACAGATAAAAATAGGGTGATTGTAAGAATTCCGAGAAAACTCCAATGTTAAAGGATGATGCGCAAATATGCATATGTAACGGCTGTCCAATATATGTAACGGAAAACTCACCAACAGTCGGGAGAAGAGAAAGGAAAAATTAATGGAAAACGACAAAGAAATATTAACACTTTTCGTGGAAAATGACAAAACTAATGGATTTGATAAATTACTAATAAATGTTGAGATAAAAATTAGAGAAACTCTGAACAAAAATACGAAATTCATTACCTATAAAAATTCTGATGAACTGTTCTTGTTCATCACCATGCATTAAAAAATGCTTGGTTTAAGCCTAGTATATGATACACTCGGAATTTGGAGACATTGACATTACAAATGTTTTAGTGAGCATGATAAATATTTTTTTGTAAATATAATCTTGTGAACATTGTTCGTAATTCTATTCAGTTCCATTTTTAAACACTTATTTTCAAAAAGTACCCCAATAAACATTACACATGATTAACAGTTGTTGCTGAAATTGTTCGTTTTCCAATGAGTAAACTTTTTTCGGGGAGGGGGCAGACGGGATGATTCGAACTCTTTCAGTATTTGGATTTTAGTTTCAAATATAATATATGCTCAACTGTATTTTTGATACTACTGTATTTACTAATGTTATTTTTTAATTAAAGTTGTATTTATAAAATTATTTATAGTTATCATAATGCTTCTTTTAGTATACGTGTAAGTAAAGTACAAATTCTTTTTCAGTTACAATAAGAGATCCCAACAATACGCCTAGTGCCATAAAGAATTTCCGGGTTACGATGAAAGATTTATATTCACAACCTCCATCTCTTAACATTGGTAAAAAAATGATGCATGATGCAGTTGCTTCAAATATTACACCAGCCACTGATGAGTATCTAATGAATACTCTTAAAACGGAGAATTATGACTTGAAGTATTGTTGTAAGTATTTGATAATTGTACAATAAATTTGTGTTAATATTATTCAATTTTATTTTAAATGTATAAAACGTGAATCCAGTCTACTAGTTCTTTTTGGGTATCTTCACTCTGCTGCCCCTCTGAATGAAAGTAACTTTGATTTCCACTTAAAAGTATCCATAAAATAAATTTGAAATATCAGTTGCTAATTTTGTTCTGTGCTGTAAAGTGATATGTTTTTAAAAAAATACCATTAGACATAAAGTCTGATGATATTTTTTAAAAACATTTCGTAAGAATAAAACATTGGATGTAGTAAAAGTTAATGCTTTAAGATGTTTAAAATTTTTATCAAAATTGCACTAAGTTTAAAATGGAATTTTTAATGTAAAGGGGCAACTCTACATTAAAACTGGCAAACTGTTACAGTCACATATGGCTCTTTTGCCCTTTTAATGTAACTTGTGTTCTATAGCCGATTGGATTAAACTATTGAACCTGTGTTCAAGTCCTGGTGAATGGGCTGTTAAGTTTGCTATGTATAATGTAAATATTAGCCAATCTCCCTCAAAAATTCTACGTGAAGTTATAAAGTAAGTCATACATTATGACCTTTGAAATATCTAGATTCACAAGTAATTAAATGATTTAAATAATTAAAGATCTTATGGTTAATGATTAAAGATCTTATTAAATGATTTAAATATTAAAGTCTTATGGTTCATGCAGATTGTTTGTTAATTCTTCATGATATTCATACATGTTTTGTACATATTTGGAACAGGATGTGTCATAACTTTTATGAGATGTTCCTCAATAGAAAACCCAGTATTATTTATTTCAAAGTATTTGGATGTAAAGCATATTGCATACCAAAAGGGATTAGAGACAAATTACAAATGAGATGGCAAGAAGGAATCATTTTAGGTTATGTCGAGGAAACTTGGGGTTTTAGAATATGGCTACCAGAAGAAGAGAGATTAACCCTTCGCAGCAGCATGTTCCTGAACGAAAAACCCTCTGTAGACAGGTGTTTCATATAAGCACCGGTCCCAAATGCTGTTAGCCGGATGATGCACTGGTGGATCACCATTTGCATTGATCTTCCAGACAGGTGTATCACATATGCATTTTTAAACATACACTTTCTTTTAGAATTTTTTTAAATAATTTCATGGCACTTCATGTCCACTACAGTTACTTTATTTGAGCATACTATACTTGTGCCTGTAAAGGACATTATGATACTGGTGATTCCTTTAGATGTATGAGGAACAAATTCCATCTGACATGCAGTTGAGACTTCACATGATATAAACATTGGATAGTTTCCAATGCTTAAAAATTTTTTTTTTTTTCCCCTATGGGAAAATTGGGAGTGGAGATGTGGTTTTAGGAACTCCTGTTTGTATTCAGTTTACATCTTCTTTAGATAGCAGATGTAAGTTTTTTTGCACCTGTTAAGAGAAATAAACTAATAGTGCAATGTCTAAGAGAAAGAAGTTTTTAGTAGAAGAGTATAATCAAATTTTAAATGAGCTCATGAGTGATTATTTTGACACCGAAAACTCTAGATTTAAGTTATGTGTAGGTGAGGCTTTGCATGATATAAACATTGGGAAGTTTCCAATGCTTCAAATTTGTTTTTTGTTTTTTCCCCATGGGAAGATTGGGAGTGGAGCTGGCGTGTGGTTTTAGGAACTTCCATTTGTATTAAATTTGCATCTTCGTTAGCTAGCAAACATGTTTTTTACACCAGGTAAGAGAAATAAAGTAATAGTGCATTGTCTAAGATAGGGGTCTTCAACCTTTCATGCCTGAGAGCCACATCAATAAATTCACAAAGATCCGCAGGCCACATGTCTGTCAAAAAAATAGTGTAGTCAGAAAATTTTATGTAAAAAAGGGAGGTTTGTTATGGAAATCGAATTTAAATGTTTTGCAACATTTTTTAACAATGGGAAAAAAGTATACAAGTGATTGCACAGAACAATGTTACAAAATGCATTTACGGTAAAAAAAAAAAAAAAAAAAAAAAAAACTTACATTACTGACAGTGAGTAGTGATGTAGTTGCTTTAGTAATTTGCATTGCTATTTTGAATGCTTCAGTATCTGTGTTAATCTTGTTGTTTGTTGCGATCCGTAAAAAGCTGATCACATATGTAGGTGCATTTGCCAATGAAATTTTCATGTAAGGGTGCCAAATGAAATGAAGGGTGCATGTTTATGAATTTCTGGATACTTGTCTTCAGTCACATACTTCGAATAAAAATCAATCAATGTAGGATTTTCAAGACACTTGCATTTTACTGCAAAGTTAAAAGAAATATGTATTTATATTACCATCTCCTTTTCTACTTTAAATATTATTTTTTTCCCTTTTTTTCAAAGGGCTTATATCTTTTTACTTTCTCTATTTTTGTTTTAAAAATATAAATTGACAGAAATAGCAAGCACAGACAGCTTTCAATTGGTAAAATGATAAAAGTGGAAGTTCTTGGTTAGTTATGGCTATAGATTGGCACCAACAAGCGTTATCTTTTTCTCAGGGAGTAGACATCTGGGAATCCAATATAGGTGAATTAGACCTCTTAGAAAAAACTTAATTATCTTAACTTAAAACTTAATAAGAAAACTTAATCTATTTGCTGGGCAGCTAGCTAAGAACGACTTATCTCATTTCCCAAGGTTAAATTCAATACATCAGTAAATTAAGAGAAGCTTAAGAATTATGAAGATTTGAAAAAATGCATTTTGAGTTCAAATGAAGATTTCAAGATTTCATTGTCATTCAAACAGAATTAGATAATTTTACCATGCCTTTCAACGTAAAATGTGAAGCAGTGAGGTCAGATTTGCAGCTTGAATTAATTGAGTTGCAATCTAACAATCATCTCAAGCAGTTTTTTCTAAATATGCCAAAGTTAGAGTTAATCATTAATGAAAGTAAGTTTCCCAAATTTAATATGTCATGCCTAGAAAATCAGTGCTATGTTTGCTTCATCTTATATTTGTGAACAAGTGTCTTCAACTATGAACCTTACAAAGAATTATTTTAGAAGTAGAATGACAGATGAGCATTTAGCCTCGTTCCTCAGTACATCAGTACATCTCCTCATTAACATATTTAAATTGTAATACAGTCAAATACCGAAAATCTACCAACTTCTGAAATCAGCGTTGCCTCTCAAAATATAAACATTTAGTTTATAGGTTCTGGAAAAAACAACATGGAGTACGAAATATCGAAGAAAAAATACTTCCTGGATAATGATGTCATAATTACTGAATAATAATGAGTCATAACAGAAATACCAAATTATTGACATCATGATAAGAGTTTTTCCCCTCCAATCTGCATTGAGGTAAAAAAGCAGATGATTAACTCAACTCTTCTTTCAAGTTTATGCTTCACGATGTTGTACTTTCTGAGCTTTGTTATTTCACAAGATTGTTTAGTGATGTCATTTTTTTTAATCCGAATATTTTGTGGATAAATTAAGGATATTTTAAATTTCAGCGCTTTTTAATACAATGATAGATAAGAACACACTCGTTATTTTACTGCTTGCAATGTTGAAAAACGTAAACATGTTGCATTGATTTTAATGAAAAAAGTGGAAATTCTGCTAAAGATGGAGGCAGGTGCTACTTCTCGGTTTATAGCAGAATCGTATGGAATTGCCACACAGACTGTGTATGATATGCGGAACAATAAAGAAAAGCTGTTGAAATTTTACAACAACAGTGATTCTAACACCGGAATCCGAAACTGGAAATCTTTACATGAGGCGAAATCGGCAAACCTCGATGCTGTCTCGTACGAGTGGTTCCAGCAGCGGCGGAGTGATGGGGTACCTATTTCAGGACTACTCCTGAGAGAAAAGGGGAAGCAGATTCATGCTGTGTTAAAAATAGAGGAGCCTAATGTAAATGAACAATGTAATATAATCAGTGTATATATGTAGTAATAATTTAATGTGTATAATTAATTATTGTATTAATGTATATAATAATTTGATTAAATGTATCTAATACGCCTTATTTATTTTGCACTTTTAGTCTGAATATTATCTTTTCTGTCCTGAAATCCGCAAAATCCGCACAACCTCTGGTCCCAAGCGTTGCGGATTTCTGAACTTCTACTGTACTTGTATATTGTTTTTAAAATTTTAGAAAAATTTATCTTGGCCCGTCAAACTTTTTGTTTCTGATTTTTGGCCCATAACCGAAAAAGTTTGCCCATACCTGGGCTAGGGGATTTCTAGGGTAAATTATTCTGCTGGAAATAATTAAAAAAAAAACCCGACCTGAAAATGTATTTCACAACTAATGAAATACTAGCAACTAGATTATCACACACTGTTTCCTTTCTGCATCATTTATGTTACAATATTTAATCATATATTTTGTTGTTTCTTACTTATGTTTAGAGATAGATTTAGGTAAGTTTTGTATCTTTCATCTACAGGAGTCAAATATTGTATTTAGCGTTTAGATTTTAATTAAAACTTTTTCAGAATCTCTTTATATTCTGTATTTATGATTATATTACTATTAGACACCATTACAAAAAAAAAATCAAAACAACTGATTGATTAGGAAAATTTGTAAGTTTTTTTTTTTTTTTTTAAGTTGGACTTAGCTCTGCGAAATACCCCCTCCTGCGAGATCATACTACAGTCAAAAGTCGTTAATTCGGACACCCATAATCCGGAATGATCTATAATCCGGACCTCAAAGCTAAAAACTTTCTGCGCATGCGCCGCATTGGCACATGCGCACAGGCGTTTTACGCGTGCGCGTAAGACCTTGACTACTGCGCAAGTGCAGAATACGTTTTCGCCAGCGCGTTTAATGTATAACGGACGGTGTAAGCTAAAATTATCTAATTATCTATTTCAGTTAATGTTAAAGATTGCGTTGTTCCTTAATCTTCGAATTGGATCCCGCTTATTATTTTTTGAAGACTGTAAGAGCAATTTTATAAAAGTAAACTTGAACTTTCGATTGTGTCAAATAGAATTTCCGATGCTGGAACTTCCAAAGGATCTACAAAACGAAAGTATGTTTCGATGTCCAACAAACCAAAAAGTGGAATTGCTGCAAAAAATGGATAAAGACATGAAGAATGTGACAGAGAGGTTAGTGAAAACGAAAAAATTTCGATTGACAAGTTAGTCGGTATTCTCGGCACAGCAATTAACGGGACTTGAACAGCGGAACTTTGTAACTGAACAAGAAATTATGTCTGTTTATAGAATTAAAGAGAAAGTATTATCATATAAAACGAAGCAACTTAAACACTTACATTGAAAAGAAATGTTAATAAAGTAAACAAATAAATATTAAGCTTTTTTTTTTTTTTTTGTAAATTTAGATACCCTTTAGATCATAATTGTTCTTTATTTCATAAATTACGGTTTCATATTTTTAATTTTAGAATTTCTGCATGCCATCTTATGAGATTTAAACTGATGATCTATAATCTGGAAAAATCAATAATCCGGATTCGCCGAAGTCCCGACGAGTCCGGATTAACGACTTTTGACTGTACTGCAATAACACGCTGTCTCCAATGTGAGTTGCACTAAGCAACATGCTGTTGTGTAAGAAATTAAGTACTGATACATATATGGTACACCTGTCATGAAGGGGTTAATAGAAGCGCCTGTAATGTGAAGTTAATGAAAGAATGAATGTAGCAGATGGCATTCTCAGCCAGAAACCCAGAACTCAGTTTAAAGGATCAGAAATGTTATCAGAATCAGATGGAGAACAGGAAGCTCTTAAATAATGAATAAAGCCATTAGAAGACAAATTCATACTAAAAGAATTTTCGGACTTAAACCAGCAAAGGGAAGCAGTTAAGAGGCTAGATGGAACATTCACAGATATATCTTACTATGTTGAAAGAACAGACACACATTTTAGATCCCTTAATGACACTGAAAAATATTGAAGTCCAGATGGGTTAACTTAACAGGTGGGTTATCTGTGTACTGGAGAAACAAGAAACTACACAGAAGAAGGTTTCAAACCCTTTATTAACTCTTTAAAATTTGCAATGCGTCAACTCAATGCTAAGAACTTCGCCTCTACTTGGGCAGTAACAGAAAGTCAGATAATTGAAATGTTTAACAAGTGATAAACTATTCTACAGGGCCCCACGAGATCCCGAACTTCAACCCCCTTCTAAGCTAGAGGCAGCAAAGTAATGCAATTAAGCCACTTGAACCAGCAATAAGCTAAACGTACCTACGGCAGAGATGGCAGCTAGAGTCTAACTCTCCCTTTCTCCTAACGAAACTCGGCTTTTAACCACTTTTTTCAACATAGAAAATTTGCATTCGTTCATGCACGCTACAACATTTAACTATTCTGGCACTGACAATTAGGGGAATGGAGGCTTATAGGAAAGTTTAAAGTAAAACTTTAAATTATTAGTTAAAATAAATCTAAATCCCTACACATTAAATTTTAGAAATGTATGTTTGACTTTGGTGGCAAAAATAAATACTCAGGAAAGGATAATTTTATAGAAAAGAAGTGTAGTTCTGTATCTGAAGAAGCAAATTCTTTAAAAATTATTATCCCACAAAATTTTAAAGAAGCTCAGAGATCTGCAGCCTCACTCTCAGTTTATGTATACCAGTGTATGTATACAGTTAAACTCTGCTCTGCTGAACCCTGCTTTATATTGAACCCTCAGATTTAAACATGTAGGGATTGTTTTAGTTTTCTAATTGGTATTTTTAATTTTGGAATCCTTTCCTTTAAATTCTTGTTTTCCGCATACAACTCTCTGCCAGGATGAGATTTCAATATTGTGTTTTATGTAAATGAAGTAGAAATAGTATTTAATGGTCAGTAATTTCTGGAGAAGAGCTCAGAAATTTAGTAGAGTGGCCTCTGCCTTTGGGCCACATTGTTACTACGAACAGCCGTAGTCTTATATGCCTGTTAGTATTCGCCTGTGGGGTTTAATTATGGACCAGCTTCGGTTAAAGTTTAGCTAGTTAGAATTAGTTTAGTTTCTTATTTTCTATCTTAAGTTAAAGCCCAAGCGAAGGCTTTCCCATAGCCCAAGAAGGAGCCGTTTGTGAATATTTCTTTGAATAAAAGGGTATTTTAACCCTTTTAACACTTTTTCTTTTGTAAAGAGACCAGTGAGCAGTCACTAGACACTCCCAAGGTTCTAGTAACCAAGGCCACGTAAATTAACTAGAAATTTATAAACAACTGACATTTTTAGTCTTATTCAATTTCCTATACCTTTAATGTTATTTTATACTGCTATAGCGAACATCAAAATGTGGGAAAATTGTATATAATGAATTATATAGATATCTGTAATTGAACCTCTTTTGTATTTTTCCAGAATTTTTGTGTGTCTTCATGAAAAAATTTCAAGTCCTTAAAATGATTCATGTTTAAAATGTTAGTATCCACATCTCAATTGGATTGACATTGCTTTTTTTTTTTTTTTTTTGGTAAGTTCAACACCACTTTTTTCTGTGTTCTGAACACAGACTATGTGAAACAGGTGTGACACACAATCTAAGAGGAGGAGGACATAATAAGAAAATCTTAGGACACAGTATGGCATTCTTTGTGTGTATTGTATGTGACCATGAAACCAAAGAAACTAAGTGAGATCTGTGATTCCATTCAAGTTCTTTAATGTTCAAGTTCTTTAATGTTTTCTTAAATGAACATTAATTTTAATGTTCAAGTTCTTTAATGGAGTTATCAGACAATCTCATACTATGATGAAGATTTTGAAATTTTTGCTCTTCACGCCAAAAGGAAGTAGTCAGTCATATGAGTTTGATTATGCAGTCAAATTTTTTTTTTTTTTTTTTTTAAAGCATAAATGCTATCCAAACTCTATTCTCTAAATGGGAGTTTTGCATTCCTTAGTTCTGTTGAAAAACAAGATATTCTTTTAAAAAGTTAATTGAATCTTTCTTTTATAATGATACAAACCTTAAGTAAAGCTTAAAGGTAAATTCGTCAATGCTTTTTATATTCCTTTTCATGCAAATAAATAAATAAATAAAACTCTCCTTTTACATTTTCAGGAAATAATCTCCTTTTCTTATCAACTTAGATATAGTGAACCAAAAAGTGAAGTGTCATAAACCGCTATTCAGCAATTAAGAGGGGTGTCATACCCTCTTAATGGTATTATTTAAATATTGTTGATATATTTGATTATGCATCTAAGCTCTTACATTTGGTAAAGTTAAATGTTTCATGTAATTATTATGAGCAACTATTATATGCAATAATGTAATAATGAATTACTTTAAATGAATTTTATCCTTTTTTTTTTTTTTAAAGCTTCTACGCCATGGTTTGAAGCATATAGAGAAGTTTTTTTCCATGTAACTTCTTCCACAGAGCATGAATTTGTCCATAATTACTTGTCGTGTATCCTTTATTATTTAAACTGTAGAATTATCATATAAAAACAAATAATCTTTATTTTATTTATACATTTTAATATGTGTCGAGAAGTTAATGTGAGCAATCTGTATATGTACTGATACTTTCCTATACTGTAAAAATACTCTTCCTTTTCTTTTTAAGGCATGTTTTGCTCTCTTCCAGAGACATTTTTATTCAGCAATAAAAAAAAAAAAATTTTTTTTTTTTTGTATATTTTAGTAGCATTTGAAAACAATATTTATGATGGAAAGTTTGGTAAGTTTATTAGCACAGCATATGAATCCTTTGGTTATTTATTTTAAACAACAGGGCATCAAGAACTTAATTCATTATGAAATTCCTATTATATTGCATCTTTTGTTAAGTTAATGATACAGATTGTCCAGAGTCAATATTGATTGAAAATATTATAGTGGGGACATTTCAACATATTCCAATTCCACTCTGTAAATTTTGGAGTCTTTGTGCTCAACAAGGAAATGGCTTTTATAATTTCAAGCTGCTAGTGGGATTTAAAATAATCTAAACAATAATTGGTTGGGGAGAAAGAAGAAATATTCAGAATTCTTTATGAATTAGCCTGTGCGAATTCAAAAAAGTTATTTTGAATTGAAACTGTTAGCATTTTAAACCACAGTTGTTATGACATAAACATTATTTTGTTTGTGTTACACTAGCTGAATCTTTGGAGTTTACATGGTGAAACCCAGAAATGGCAATTAACTGTGTGCATGGCTTTAAACGTAAAAACTCCATGAGAAAGGTGATTTTTTTTTTTTTTTTTTTTTTTGTGTGTGTGTGTGTGTGTGTCTGTGTCTGCCCTTATAGCTAACACTATGTGTAGCAGATATGTGAGTGTGTCTTTATAGCTGACGCTCTCTGTAGCAGATCTGTCAGATGATTGTTAATAATAGGAAAATGATCCTGCATAGTACTTATGCTGCATTATCTCATCACTTAGCAGTGCAGTGATTCTCCATAAAACAAAAGGCTTTTAAATTACTTATTTCTTAGAATTCTAATAACAAATAGTAAGATAAATTCGTGCCTATCTTATTCTAATTTTTTTCCCCTTTGATTACTTCTGTGAATTGAAATGAATTAAAAAATATAAGGTGCTACAGGTAGAAGTGGATAGAACACCAGAATTTCACTATTGGTTGTGCAGTAACTGTACAGTTACATGGTTATAGGGTCTCCCACCCCTCTTCCCTTACCACCAGCTACTCGAAAGAACTTTCGGCTTAGTATTTTGAATGTGCCCTTGCATCGCAGATACTATACGTTTACAAATATCCATGCCTTTCGAAAATGTTCTTGTCTGTGTGGTAGTCAAACTCATTAACCACTTGACTCAGTCACTGTGGGGAAAGTCTGTGGACACACTGGTACCAAATGTCAGATGGAAAACCTTGTTGCTCTCTCAATTGATCTGTGAAGGCATTTATCCTAGTGGGTGAGTTGTTATTAGGAGGAGGAATTTGTCTAAGCAAAACAGTTATGAAAGCAAGACATTCGTGTATGCCATTTATTTAGCATTTAACATGCCATTATTTATGAATTCATAATGAAAAGTTACATCATGATTTTACTACATTAGTCATCTTCAGTAGCATTTGATAAAAAACCCAGCTAGTCATGTAAATATTAACGCTTACAGCATCTACATACATGGGGAAAGCCATCAATCTGCATCATCCTTTGACTCCAAACAGCAATCGGTCAAGCAGATATCAGATTTTTGAATGAGGAACAAGCTCTACAGAATACAGAAGTTGCACTGCTCTCTTGATCAAACTTCCATCAGTATTAGCCCAGAGGTGTGTATTCACATAGCATGCAGGATGTATCTTCCACATCATCATGGACAATTTATCTTCATACATCAAAATTATTGAGTATTTATTGTTTCTAAAGTCTATGCATTTGTGCTGACTGATATGCAAGTTGTAGATCCAGCAAATATGTTAAATCAGTGATCTGCCATATCCATAAACATTTAGTGAGCTGATGTTGATAAATTCCCTGTAAGAAAATGACCAGATGTTAATGACTGAAACTGGTTTACTACTAACAAACAAATGTGAATGTTCTGGAGTTCAGGATGGCTTAATTTCTGATATAACTATTTCTAATTCAGAGAATATTAAAATGATCTTCTAAAATCTATTTAAGTATCATTTCCCATTAAATCTTTCCATTAAATAGCTAGTTCGTTGATGAAATGCTATGATAGTCTATGGCAGGAGTCAGCAACCTTGTAGCTGTGGTGTGCCAAACCAATCTACCAATACGATTCAAGATGCCACACAGTAGGAAACATTTGAAACGATTCGATTCCTGCTGTAATGTATACAGAGTTAGGGAATAGGGGTCAAGAATACAGATTTAAAGTTTTATATATTAATAATGCATCGTTTAAAATATTTAACATAAAATTAAATATCATTATTGTAAAAGTAAATATAATTATATTAGTAAATATGGAAGTAATATAAATATATAAGTAAATAAATATAATTATTATATAATTATGATATGTTCCTTCAGTATAGTTAAATGAAAAATTTTAATTTTCATGTGAACCTTGTCCTTGGACCGTTCTACTTAATATTGCAGTATTGGGTATATTTTGCAACTTTCAATTTGATACTCTGAATGTTCACTTGCTAAATAATAGCTCTTTTTATATCTTCACATTTTTCATCGGAATCTGAAATGTGAACTGATGTTTAGTTTGAAAATGTCTTTGTACACTTGACCTGCGACATATTACGTTTTCACGACCTACATACACAATCCTTTCTTGTGGGAATCCATATTCATTCGTCCAAGCATCTTGAAAACTGGGAACATAAAGTTTTCTTTTTTTTAGAGACCATTTGATTAAATATGTAGGTGTGAATGATCACAATAATTAAGCAAATAAAGTTTTCGCAATAAAATAAGAACCTATAGTGCCCAACGTGCATCAAACTAAATTCTACTTTGGACTGAAATCAAGCTCTGTACTTGGGAATCTGCATGATGAACCGAACAAAAGGAGACAAAATGAATGAAGTGAGACAGCACAGAGAAGATAGACAGGACGATCCATCTTTACCTAATAACATTGCCTATTGGTATAGAATGCCACTGAGAATTGTACTGGGGGGCATAGGTTGTCGATGCCTGGTCTATGATATGGAAAAAAAAAACTTTGTTTCTTCATCCCTCAAGTATTTCTTTCTACAAAGTTTGTTGAGAATTAGGTTTTTAAACACATTTGTGATATCAAAGTATTTTTTTAAAATCATATTTTGGTAGTAAATTTTCTAAAGATACGTGAAAATTTCTGGTAATTAAGGATTCAACAAACACAACAGGACAAACAAGTAAAGACTGGTAGTCATCCTTTGCTTAATGCTTCAAATAGAACTTTCAGCATGAAAATCCTTCAGCTGCTTTTTTGATCACTGACTTTCTTCTTCGGAAGTCCATTCAGGACTTTTTCACCTTAAATCATTTCATATAATTTTTCCAAATTTCTGGTGCAAGTAAATTTGTAGGATTTACTCTTTTGGAGCAGTAAAATAAAACAATACTCTTTAATATTACATAATAAGCAATGATTGATAATTTCTTGATATTTTGTATTACTTTACTTTTGCATTAATTTACTTTTAATTCAGTTTTGTTTCAAAGTTTTTGTCTCAAATTGTTTTTAATTTTTGCCTTTTTGTAGATAGTTTATCTCTCTTTTTTTATGTAATTTAAATGTTTTATCTTTTAAATAATTAATTTGTGGCATTTTGCCTGTATAATAATATTTAAATTTAATAGTCTTCAATTTTTTTTAAATTTTATTTATATCTATATATAATTATGAACTGTTTTTAACAATTTTTTTAAAGGGATAAATAAAAATAGTGTCTTTTCTAAAAAAAATAGTGTAGGGAATTAAAAGTGCTACTAGGCAAAGGGAGTGAGAATGCATATTATTGTATGTTATTATTAAAACTGGGAAATTTTTTGGCAAATTGGATTCCAAAAAGGAAAATGGGGAAAAGTAATTAAGGATTCAACAAACACAACAGGACAAACAAGTAAAGACTGTTAGTCATCCTTTGCTTAATGCTTCAAATAGAACTTTTCAAGGCCTATTTTTTTAAACATTAAATCTGAATAATTAGCGAATGCCAAATATATGCTTCATTTTTTTATTTTATGTAATATTAAGCATAAATTTATATGTGCGTGTGTGTAATTTTAAATGTATAATTTGAAGCAAATATGTTATATTTTTTCACCAAATTTTTATGACTGTTTAACTTCTCCATGTAAATTTAATTCACTAATTTCTTTTTTGGATAATTTCAGCGAAAAGAAAATTAGTAAATCCTTGACTAACCAGCTATGATTTAATAAAGGGAGATTTTTGTTATGTTTTGCATGTGATTATTCTCTTAATGTTCTGGTGAAGTAATTTATGATTAATGTATTTCATTTCCTATCAAACTTTTGTCAATTTCTCAAGTATATTGTGAAATAACTTATTTATTGTTCTATGATTGTCATTTATATTATATTTTGAAAAGAGAAATTATAAATAGTAATAAGAATTTTAATTTTCCTTTGTTTTAAAAATGTATTCGAAATGCTGTTTATCCCTTAACACCAATTAGGTGTGTGTGTTGTTTCCACGTCTCATCAGGACCCTCTTAGTCAAATAAATGAACTGTGTCAACAACTAGTGCAACTTCAGCAAAATACTCCTCATAATTCCAAGTGGTTCTTCTCTTTTGTATATACGTATTATGTCCTTTTACACGATGTTTCATCTGAAGATTTAGCAAAGTAATCTTTATATTTAGTGAAATTTGCTTTTATATTTGTTTTTATCAGATTTCTACAAAGTAACTAAAATTTGTGTTTTTTAAAATACATTAAGAAATATTTTATTTCTTGCTTATTAATAGCGCTATGTTATACAGTCAAAAGTCTGTCGGACTGCGGGACCGGGCGATTCGGATAGCGATTTTCAGGGACTAAGATAATCAGTTTAAATATGGTAAGATGCGCAGCAGAAATGATAAAATTAAACTGGAACCGTAATTTATAAAATAATGAGCAATTATCATCTAAAGGGTACAAAATTTACCAAAAGAAGCCTAATATTTATTTGTTTACTTTATAAACATTTCTTTCAAAGCGCGGATGCGTAAGCATACTACGCATAGCCGAATTAGAAAATTGGCAACCAGAAAAAACTATTGATTTGTATTGTGGTATTTATTGACGAGGAATTTGAATTGAAATCATATCAAGACGGAGTACATCGGAATTAAAATACTACATAGTAAGGAATTATAGCAAATAAAATAAAAACATATGCTCTGAAGAGAACGATAGTGTTGACAAATCAAATTCAGTTCATTGCGCGTGTGCCCCCCCCCCCCCCCCCCCCCGCGCAGAGCAGCGTGAAATTGTAAACAGATTTTGGAACGGTTAGATAAACAAAGAATATTCCTTTATCCATTTTTTGTAGCCATTTGTTTTTGTTTGATGGACATCGAAACATACTTTCGTTTTCAGATCCTTGGGAGCTCCAAGCGTCGGAATTCTATTTGACATAATCGAAAGTCAAGCTTACTTTTAGAAAATTGCTCTTACAGTCTGCAAAAATAATAAGCCAGATCCAATTCGAAGATTAAGGAACACCCGCAATCATCAAACATTAACTGAAATAGATATGTATAAGATTAGATAATTTTCTTTACGTCCATTTAAGTAAACGCGCACGCGGGAAAAACGATTCTGCAACTTGCACAGACGCAATAGGCGCAGTCGTAATGTCTTGGCGCGCACGAGCAAAACGCCTATGCGCATGCGTCAATGCGGCGCATGCGCAGAAAGATTTTAGCTTTGAGGTCCGGATTATGGGTGTCCGAATTAACGACTGTTGACTGTATATATATAAATGAGTGCAAATTAAAAAAAGAGAGAGAGAGAGATGTAGGGAAAGGACGATGAAGATAAATAACAATAATTTCATTTTGATCTTCAAACATGTGGTCTTTCTTTATGAACTAATTGTTCTGAATGTAGATGTCATTTTACTAGCCTGTTAATGAAAAACTATTTTATAGAAGTAGAAGAAAAGTATGAGTTAACAGACATTTTGGGTTGTGAAGAATAAAGATTATTAAGTCTTAAAATCGCTATATTTTATATACTCAAGAAATACAGTATTTTGATTTGATAAGATTAATTCTTTTGTCTTGTATGATGATTTACTTTAATGTTTGTTTTTGCAATTTTAAGATTATGAGAAAGATAGGTACATTAAAAAAATAAAACGGTTGAACTACTTTTTAGTGGGCAGTCAATGAATTTGAGCTCTTATCTATCATCAGTGCCCACAATATAAAAGGGAAAGAAAATGGGTCTGAAGATTGCCTTCATTTTTTAAACCTTTAATGTTTTTTCAAATTCTGTATATAATTTTCTTTATTAAATACCAGGAACATTTAAAAACAGTCTTAAAAAAGATAATGTGGATATTCAAAGAAAAACAGAGGAAATAAATTCTTATGAATATTCATCAAGTTACTTTTGCTAAGGTGTCTTCAAAAATTATGCATGCTTCAAAGGTAAATTTTTAAATTTAGTGTAAAATTGAAAGAGGAAGAGAATTAGCACATTGAACTTTGATAATCTTGGAAGCCTTATTAATATGATCATTTAAAAAACAAATAGTGTTCTAGCTTTTCAAAACTGTCTAGATTGTTTAGTCATATAAATCATTGACTTGAAATCATTGACAGAAATCATTAATAGAAAATAATGTGAAAATTATATGTAGATATATGGAATATTATTTTCTTTTTATGGATTAAATTTTAATTTAATGAGAAAATGATCAATGCATTTGTTTGGTATCTATATAGAAGTCAGTTATTATAATTAGTCCCAAAGTGATGTAGAGGTTAAGTTTGGCTGCATTGAATTATGTACTTTAGAGTGACAGAATATTTCAGACCATTTAATCAAATATTTGACCTAGGATTCGTAACCTTTTTCTTGCATTGACCCTTTTTAAAAGAACTGTTTTCTTCATCAAACCCCATATATTTTTCTCTATTATATACAGGTTACACTCAAATGATAATATAATAATTACACATAAATAACCTCAAGACAACAGTTAGATCAAGAATATGAACAAAAGTTTAAAAAATGTATTTATTATTATTTTTAATTTTAGAAGTCTTAAGTTTTTAAGAAACAAAATTACAGATTATAATTGCACAAAAGTTCATTTTTAATTAATATGATGGCTGGGCTTGGTGATTGATGCAATTTTTTTTATTTTAAAGATTAAATAAAAGTACTTAATTCTTAAAGTACCTTGTTCAAAAATATTCATTGTTTCTTGTTTTCTGTAGTAAATTATTGACTGTATTAATGCTTGCCTGTACTAGGTAAGAAGAGGAAGAAGTCAATAATGTTGATTGGTAACAATTTTTATTTTGGAATATAATTATTTCATGGATAATGACTCTTAAATTGGATGGCTTTTAAATTCCAAAACTTGGTGTTCACGTGTTTTGAATAAGACTTGTGCTTGAACATCCTTCTTTAATGCAATTAATTCTTGCATCATAATATTGAGATCAGATATATCACATCTCTGTGATTCTATGAACCATACTGGTGCATTCAAATTATTAGTGTCTTGGAAGTGAACATTAAAATTATCTTTTAAATTTTGTAAGTGTCTTATATATAACAGTATATCTTCTGAGGAAAGTTCTGCATTTTCTTATATATATTGTATTTGTGTGTTTTCTTGTGTTCCTGCATTTTACTTTTTTATATTGCACTTTTTGCATAAGAAAGTAATGCATAAAAAATATTCATTTAAAAAGTAAATATGTCATTTTGTGTATTTTCCCCCTTCTGTTTATTTCATATGATTTCTTTTTTACTATGTTATATAGCTTCATATTAAAAACAATTATTTATGAATTTTATGACATTAGTAATTTTTACTGTTATTAATGCTATCTTCTTTATGCAGATCAATTGCCTGTTCATATTTGGCTATCAACCTCCTTTAAAACTTCATTTGCTAAACCATATTTGATCCCGTTGTGAACCCTGTATTAGGCATTTCTTACTGTGCTGCAATTAAAATTGACCTTGTAATTTAAGTCTTAAATTTCCTTCTAATTTTTTATTCAAGTTAAATGTATAATGGTAGTTTGAGGAATCATTTGAGTGGAATTTTTCTTCATTATTCAAAATGTAGCATTCTTTATTGATTAAAGAAGAGAATGTCTATTAATTGAATGTTATTTAATTAAGTATTCCATGTTTCATTTAATGAGAACATTTTACAGTATCATAAACATTTTAATACTCTATATATTTTATAATATGTAAACAATATTAAAATATTTTAATATTCATTTTAAAACTAAATAACTTTATCATTCATTTATTGATTATAAAAAGTAAAAACTGTAAATTTAATAAACTTTTTTTTGTTCTGTTTCAGGGCTGAAACTGTTTACCAAAGCATGAAAAGTTCATTTGGAGCTTCATCGTGTCATCTGCTCCAAATCAATTCCATAACTTCTCAGGCTACCAGTTCTGTAGATGAATATAGTGAAACAATAATGCCTGATCCATGGACTCAATTTCTTCCAAAATATCGTGTACAGAATGTTAGTTTTTATTTTCTTTTGATTTCAGTTATTTATTATGGACTTTTGTTAGTTTCAAAGTATCAAATGTTTACAACAGCCACAATATGAGTCAAAAACTCTGAAACTCATTTTTTTACAAAATTTTCTAATCTGTGCAGCCCTCTTCCAGTATTCATGAATTACTACAGTTCTACTGTTTTTAAGTAAACTTATGCAAGAATCAAATGTGTAACTCTTCTTTTAATTTTGAAAGCATATTTGCAAAACATGTAAATGATTCATGTAATAAGAATATTATTTAATTATAGATAAACACCTAAATCGTGAAAGGCTATAAAATAAGTCCATACGCAGCGTGTTTTGGTGCATGTTGCTAAATGTTGACTTAATCAAATGCATTTCTCTGAAAAGGACTGGGCTCTCAAACATTGTGCACACTATGATGATATTTATATTATCAATATAATTTTGTTAAGCATATATATACAGTGGAAGGATAGGAATTTGCTTTTTCTAATATTTAATTTTTTATTGCATTTATGTTCTTATTTTTTCCTTTAGCATTTCTGTTGTGAAAGAACTTGTGCTGATTTATTACTCTAAAGGACGGACATTTTGTATGTTAATTCTATAAGATTCTTTAAATAAGATCTCGATGAAAAAAAATGATATTGATCAACATTTTTTGCAATAATTTGCATAGAAATGCTCATCATAAATCTCTTAACATCAAAAAGTCTTTAAACAATGTTTTATCTTTTGTTATGTAAAAATGCAATGTTTAAAGATTTTGCAACTGTACTGGGAAAATTCTATCACTTTTAATTTTTACTTAGTATTATACATTGTGGCCACAAAAGTCCTTACCTGGTCTTTTTCGTTCACAATTGTTAGTTATAGATATTTACTTTAAATTACAGAAATATTTTATATGATGCAAAATTCATTTTTCATGTTCTAAATGAAGTGTTTTTTTGTTTTTTTAGCTATATATATATATATATATATATAATTAGAAATACAGAATCTAACTTTTTACTTGTTGCTCCAGTCCTTATATTTAAGAAAATTTTATACTCATTATGAATAATAGAACACACATTTAACTGCTCTATGGATAAGAAGTGACCAAAATGTTTAATATTCAAGGGCTCTACACAAACTGAAGAGTGAAATGTTTGCATTTCTACCTTACAAAAGTGATGCATCATTCAGAAAAAGAATTCTGATGTTATGATGAGCATTTATGTGCAGATTATTATGAAAAATATTGATCAACATAATTTTTACCAAACAGATATACTATTCAGAGACTCTTGTAGAATTCATGTTCTAGAAAACACTGGCCAACTTCAATATTGGCATGTAGACAGCTTGTAATATTATTTGCATTAAGTGAACAGGAAAAATATTTATAATTTAATCATTTTTTTGCACAATTACCAGATTTGATTCTAAAGTAATAAAACTTCATGACAGTATTAATAATTTATTTTTAGACTTTGAAAATATATTGTTACGAAATGTACAGGCGCGGTAAGATAGCTTATCCGCAAAGCAGATTTTGGGTTGCCATAAAATGGCAGGGGTAGGCAGGGTTGCCACAGTTGGTGAGAAATTGCCCATTTGGCGACAAAATCGGCAATATGCCATGGACGGACGGAGAACCTTCTGGAATCGAATTCTTACCCGGTTAGCCCAGAATTTCTCGAACACAACGAAAGCTATATAAGCCTGCTGGTCTGCAGTCAGTTAGAGTGTGTGCCCTGCCTAAGTACGAATAGGATGTATCAAGTTGTGTCTCTCTACCGATCAATCCTGCGAGTCGTCGAGTTGCAGCCAGGCCGAGTGCCGAGTGGGTTCGTCTCTACACCAAAAACGTTCTCGTAGTTTATCGCGGCTAGTGCATCGTCGAGAGAGTGTGTTGAGCTCCGGGAATAACTGAACCGAAGAGTCAGGAGCTCTAATCTGTGTGTCGTCGAGTGCATCGCAAGTTGGAGCGTCAAGAGTCTCGAGAGTACGTGGAGTTCTGAGAATGACCGAGCAGAGTCTGGAGGTGTACTCTGGTGCTTTGCAGTGAAGCTTTCTCTACTGGTATTGCCTGACAGTGTGAAGGCTGTGTCCCTGACTGTTCCTACTGTGTACAGTATATTCTTCGACAACTGTCAAATCGTGTTTTGAAGCTGTCCTGACAATACTGGCCAATAAAGAGTGTTCCGATATTTCATTAAGTAGTATTGTCATTATTCACTCCGAATTCTCACGAACCCCGTATGAACGTGAAGAAAGAAAATAATGCAACAACTCAAAACTCAAATGCAATTATCAGAAAAAAACCTAACAATATAAATTATTTGAGTGAAAATTCTTCCAACATACAAATGTAATAAAATTATAATTTAAAGACACTAGTAAATCACAAAACAGTATGATTCAATGGTATTTAAGGGGGAAATCTACCTTGATTTATTTTATTTACTAACTCACCCTTCAGTAGAAATTGAATATCACATCAAAAATTGCAGATTTTGAAATTAAGTATCTGTCATTTTTTGTTGTATAGGATTCATTTTTTTTTAAATTTATTTATTTTTTATAATGAGTACAAAATTTTCTTAAATATGATTTTAGAACTGGAGGAACGAAAAAAAGTTAGATTTTATAGTATTTACAAAATTTACATCTTTGAAAATGTCCAAACATCAATGTGTGGGTCATTTAAAACATTTTTGTAACTGAAAGTATAGGTCTATGGTGAACTGTTGTGAAATTAAAGGTGAGGTAAGGACCTTTTTGGACACGGTGTATAAAGTCCTTTAAAATAACCTTAACACTTTTAAGTTAAACAGTTACATGAGGTTTAGTAGTTTAAGAATTAATACTCAGAAATTTTAAATGCTAAACATAAAATCATATATTTAAAAAAACTATCCAGATTAGTTGTGACAATTTCTTTGGGGGTAGGACTTGTGATATTTTTCCACCATATATTAACACAGTGTGGAGACTTGTTCTTACTGTAAAATGAAAGTATTCTAGGTATAACTGTGCATTTATTTAACTGGATCACTTGCAAGAAATATTCCAGGTAAGGGAAGTGACAACAATTCTGTTTTACTAGACATGAAATTCGTGTAGTGATATCAGTGTAATATCTGATTTCAGATATTAAAAATAAGATTTTAAAAAGTCAAGTTTTATTAGTAAGGAATAATTATTTTCATTTTAAAAATCCAGTAAAATTAGTAATTCTCTTAGCAAAATCATCATGAAATTTAAGCATTGATTTCATATGGAAATGATACAGGTATTTAATAAATTAGGAAAACAAACCTTTTCGGTGTATATATAGAGCAATTGTATTCATATATCTTAAATATACATCTCCATAAATTAGAAAGCATGTTTAGCTCTCTTTTATACTAGATTTTGTTTTAATGAGTGTTCTATCCAGTTAATTGGAATTGGTTATATAGATAAAATAGTTTTAGTTCAAAGATTTTTAAGTTAATATTGACATTAACCCTTCGATGATTGTGAAGCTTTTCACCCCTAATATGTAATATATTATAGTGCAAGCTGTGTTGCATAACTGAAATGCAAGCTGAGCTTATTACTGACTATCAAAAGGTTGATTTTTATACATGGGTTATTCGCTTTTCTGTGAATAAACATTATCCGACAAGAATTATTGATTCTTATTAACAACAATTATTATCATTCTTATGAATCTTAACAGAGTTGTCTGGGGTCTTGGAATTTTATGTAACTGTGATATTGTGACCTTAAACTATAGTTAGTTCTGTCTTGTATAATTAGCTTACTTTGTTGTTTGTATTTTTTTTCATCATTTAGGAAAAATATCATAATGCATGTTACAAATACATCGTTATACTTGATCACATAATAAATTTATGTTTTGCATTCATTATACATTCAGCTTTTGACAAAGGTATTATATACCTATCTCTCTCTCTCTACGTGCGAGCTGAACCTACTTCTACCTCTTGAATTTAATTCACTTATTGAATTTTGATGATTGATGTAGCTAATTTTTAAATTTTAGTCGATCAAATTTTAAAAGCAACTTTTCATTATAATAATTTATCATGATTATAAATGGAATTTAAAATTATTTAATTGTTATGTAACTTAGTTTTCTTTTGTTTCTGACATTGTCTCAAAAATTATATGAAAATATTTCAAGACTGGAGTGTAATTTCTTTTTACAGGACACTGTTTCAAGTAATCATATTGTTGAAGAAAACCATTATGATGATGTAAATGAAGGTAATAAATTGAATAAGCCTCTCTTTTTTATAATTAAATAGATGCTATATTGTTTGCACAAAAATTCATTTTGCTTGGGGAAACTTATCATGTACCAAACATGGTTTTTAAAGCTACTGCCATTAATAATAGCAACTGGAATTTTAAGGAATACACTACTGTAACAATGTAGGGGTTTCCTCCATTGCAACATTCCCATTAATATGTATTTTGGAATTTCCGTAATTTTTTAGAGCTTGATGTGCACGACTTTGGGATCACCCTATACTTTAGTGCATACAATAATTAATTGTTTTAAAATATTCAATCTTAGAAAAAAAGCTGTATTTCTTATTTCATGTTTATATTTGGATCTGAAATCTATCAAACAGTAGTGTTCAACCTGTAACTTTTATCTCATAATAAAAAATAAAAAAAAATTAACTAAAGAGAATATAGAAATAATATTTCAGGTGAATGTTCTGAATATAATGTTCTCAAAGACTGCCATATTTATCAGATTAGATATAGATGTTCTCATATGTGTGTGCATGTATGTAAATGACGAGT